GTTTTCCAACTCTCCATCGCTAGAATACTGCAGGACAAACTTTTTGGGATTTTTCTTCTGAAAATTATCTTCCCACTTCTTAAAATTTGCCCTTATAAAATCATTCTTGCTTTTGGGCCTCCACCGACTGCCCCTATGGCTTGCTAAGGAAAGCCTTACCAGCACCTTCCTCCTGATTACCCTTAGTAAGCCCTATTGATATAGGCTCAATCTCTGAATGGGCTTGATTCACTTCTCCTACTACCTTATTACCCTCAGTAATCCCATCTGATATAGGCCCATTCACTGATTAGGCTTGAAAACTTTTAACACCCTCATCTCCTATTGAACAGCTTGAGTCGCCCAAAAGCCCAAATTTATTGGAGAGGAATAAATCCCTCTTTTTAGGCGGTAGGGGAACATGATAGGCTTCAAGACCGAGAATAGTCTCTTCGACTACAGTTCCTCTTCAAACTCCCACTTCTAAAAAAGGCGGTGGCTAAACTGGTAGGATTGCCACATGTGGTTAATTCTCAGGGAGACATGAATCCTCTACCACAATCATTTTTCCACGTGGAATCCTTGTCGATGAAGATTCCAGTTTGGACTTTCCTGCCATCTCTTCGACTCCATCCCTTTTTTCGCCAACCGCCAGAATTCATATCCTGTCGTCGCCCGGAAAAGATCCTTAACCGGATTTCCTTCCCTGCATCACCATCCGAGCTCCGATTTCTTCACTAACACATACTTTACTCTTTCGTGCAATCCCTTCAATACTTCTGAATATCAGCCCCTTGTTCTCCCATTGGAAAAGCTCTGATTTTTCTCTAAATTGAAGAGGCCTAAATGAATTAACTCGCCTTGGCATGGAACCTCAAGAATGGGTCCATAAGACCTTTGAAACCTCTAACTTTAATCTTAGCAAACATCAAAAAGGATTTCTCTAGCGTGTCCTCTGCAATTTCTAAGAGGCCTCCAAAAAGCTTCTCCCAGGATCTGGAAGGCATTGTAATTCCACAAATTCAAAGGTAACCCCTCAAATATCAATCCAACTGCCCCTTGCTTCTATCTGCACGTGCTCCTAATGAGAATACATCGGCCATGTCTCCATCCTTGCTATTGGACTTTTCTTGCAAAACAGTCTTTTTGTCAACAGCTTGTTCCTCTCTGCTTCGTCTTTACACCAGATAACGGCTCCATCTGCCGTCAAGGGGACCACCTCCACCAACCTCGCCACTCTGCTACCAATCGTTTCCTTTAACTCCCACCATTCTGTATCCACACTCCTTCTGGTAACTACCACAGCCATCCCCCAAGATTTAGCTATCTCGGCCATATTACCTTCGGTTGAAAGAGCTTCCATTCCCCTTTCTCGTTCAAAAATCCGAGGGAAAGTCTGTTTATAATTATTACTCACCTCCCTCCTTTGCTGTTGTGTCCCCGTAAAGTGTACCATCCCTGTGTTTCCCATTTCTTCTACAACAGTTCCCTTCTTACGTCCCCTCGTCCCCAATGAAAAAGAACCGTCTGAATTCCTCCCCAAAATCACGTCGAGTTTGATTTTCAAGGTTAACCATCCCGTTTTAGTTCTCTCCTGGAAGGAATAAATTCCTCACCAGCCCACCTTGAACCCTCATTATCTTTAAAAATTCACCCCCTTCATTTGTCAAAATCTCCACCAAAAGTGTCATAGATGAGTTGGTAAATTTACGTTTGAAACCCTGCCCAGCTTCCCGCTTGCAAACCACTCCCAAAATGTCACTCAACCAAAAGGCTGCATCTATGGAACAAGAGAGAGTATCTACGATTCTTCTTAAACCTCCTCAAACTTAATATAACCTCCATCTTGTCATAAAGAAACAATGAACCACTTTGAACCAATTCTAAACTCGTGTTTGTATGGATTGAAATAGTCCGAAAACATGTTGTTGAGCTTAAAAAATCAATATGTGACGCTTAGACTTCTAGAGAGAAGGGAGAGCATCTCTCTCTAAAAAATAATACTGGCTCAAACCCACTTCCTATCTTAATGAGCTTGGATCTAGAAGCGTCGAACGGAACAACTAACTCTGTTAACTCCATGATTCGCACAGAAATTGCTTCAAATTTTCTTGTTAACTTCTTTATTTTTCCAAATCTGTACTTCCGGTTGAAGCTGATATTGAGAACCACCATGAAATCAACTAAATCAAGAAGCTGATCCACAGATTCACCAATGTCACAAATGCTTATCATCTCAAATTGATCGTGTATAACACACTTTCCCCTCAAAAGCTTTATCTTTGCTCATTGTTTTTCATATCACCAACAATGGAGGTAACTCGCAGATGTAAATTCCCAATTCCATTGTCAAGAACCCCATCAATGCAATTGATATAACCAAGAAGATCCTTTAATATAAAAGAACGTTCACAGCTTTCTTCTTCTTCTTTTTCTTGTTCAATTGACGAAGGAACTTTAGCTACATCCTTGGAAAATTCTAATTCCTTGAACCTGTCACTCCACATATCTTGAGGTCCATCACCTTTATCTCTGAGCTGAGAATCACCTTCCAATGCAGCTCCAGATCAAAATCGCGCTCTCATCGATAGGCTTCCAGAAGGAATCCAAGTCCAAAACCTCCTTTTGAAATCTGCCCCAGCAAGATCCGAATCGTTTTCCCTAATCCGGCGGGCCCCAACTAGGTGCAGATCTGGGCTGGGCTCCCTAACCCATTGGAATCCCCTCTGAACCGGGCAAGGCCCAAGATGAGCTTTCCTGTCCTCCCACTCCAAGCCCAGTAGCCAAACAGGCCTCCCCTACCTAAATTCTTCTTAGGCCGGCCACCCAATCTCCGGCGCTTCTCCGTGCGGCCCCTAACCCCGTCCGGCGACCTTCTGCCTCCGGCCGACCCTTCCCATGGCGGATTCCCACGGATCCGGTCAAAATCCCCAAGAACCAAAGCCTTAGCCTCTCCTCCGGGCAGATATGTTGTTCCCCGAGGTTGCCGGACCGACTCCGCCTCAGATCGACGACGAACTGCTCTCCGATCCAAGCCAATCTGGCCTCTCCCATTCGCAGATCTCCGCGATTCCGGTCATATTCCCCAAGACCCAGTTCGCTAATGTCCTTACGGTACAGTTTCGGCACCTCCAACCCCATGTCTCCTCCACTATGCCCGCCACGACGACTTTCTGCCTGTACCTCGAATGTCGCCGATCTGCTGCTCCCTTCGCGGCTCGTTGCGGTTCTGGTTGAATCGCCCAACTCCCAAATGCCTTTCATTCTGCTCAAGTGCGCCTTCTCCGGGTTGTCTCCTGTCCTCCCACTCCAAGCCCGGCAGGCAAACAGGCCTCCCCTACCTAAATTCTTCTTAGGCCGGCCACCCAGTCTTCGGCGCTTCTCCGCGCGGCCCCTGACCCCGTCCGGCGGCCTTCCGCCTCCGGCCAGCCCTTCCCATGGCGGATTCCCACGGATCCAGTCAAAATCCCCAAGAACCAAAGCCTTAGCCTCTCCTCCAGGCATATATGTTGTTCCCTGAGGTTGCCGGACCAACTCCGCCTCAGATCGACGACGAACTGTTCTCTGATCCAAGCCAATCTGGCATCCCATTCACAATTCTCCGCGATTCCAGTCATATTCCCCAAGACCCAGTTCGCTAATGTCCTCACAGTACAATTTCGGCACCTCCGCTCCCATGTCTCCTCCGCTCTGCCCGCCACGACGACTTTCCGCCTGTTTCTGGTCGAGATCGGTCTGGCCCAGACCTCGAATGTCGCCGATCTGCTCCTCCCTTCGCAGCTCGTTGCGGTTCTAGTAAAATCGCCCAACTCCCAAATGCCTTTCGTTCTGCTCAAGTGCGCCTTCTCTGGGTTGTCGTCCGTCTAGGTCTGTCACTAAAGGAGCAAGCATCCTCTCCACAAACGTCTCCTCTCCACAAACACCTCCTCTCCACAAACGCCTCCTCTCCAACAGAGCCTTGAACCTCGCCGATTTGAGCTCCCAGTTCAGATCGCAACCCAGTCACCTCCTCCCAGAGGTGGGGAAGCTGGCCGAAGGAAGCACTTGCACCTCCTCTTGAACCGCCGGCAAGCCCTTTTCCACAACTGATACTCTCCTCTCCACAAACGCCTCCAACCGCTAAAGAGAGCCCTGAACCTCCCCGATTTGAGCTCCCAGTTCAGATCGCAACCCAATCACCTCCTCCCGGAGGTGGGGAAGCTGGCCGGAGGCAGCACTTGCACCTCCTCTTGAACCGCCGGCAAGCCCTTCTCCACAGCTGATACTCTCTCTCCGTCAGCTGGTTTAGGTGCCATGATTGTTGCTCTGATACCAAAATGTTAGGTACCTAGCAATTTCTTAAGAAATTAAGATTTATTGAATCAAAATAGAATGAACACTGATAGAGTAGCTTTCGAAAGGTTGCAACTCTCCCAAATCTTGGTTTCCCAAGCCCTAAAAGATACCCAAATCACTCACAAATCAGAAAAAAAAAAAACCCTTTGTAAGCTACTAACTTCCTTATTTATACTAATTTCTGGTGACTCTATCAGCTCACTCACTAAACTAACTACCCAAATTACTAAAGGACCCTAACAGTCACTTTCACACTTTTTGATTCCATATATGGCATTGCCATTAGCATTTCCATTAGAGATGGTCTTAGTGACTCAGGGGCTATTGGTGCTGGGCAGATAGGTTTCTTATCTCTTGAAAATTATTCCTTCTTAAACTTTTGATCGAAGGAGATGAATAAGAAAAAGGGTTCCTGCACAACAACATATTAGAGACCATTGTAACATAGAAGTTTACTCTTCTTTCTTCTTAACAAGGGGTATGTTTTACTTTGAAGACTTCATTCCTAACCACTTGATAGTCAGAAATATAAGCATAAGGAATAAGACACATGAAGCACCGTAATACAGTAACATGCTAAATAATGGATAAAGCAAAACGTAACCCTAGTGAATGAGATTCTAAAAATAAAAACAGAGGTCCAAGCACATGTATGATGAAAAATGAAAAGCAACAATTATGCTTACCTGTCAGTCAAAAGCTTCTCTCTGGTTGCTAGGGCACCAAATAACAAAACGGAAACTAGATACATTGCAGTAGTTGTAAGAGTTGCAGAAAGTGTTCCAATGGGAATTGAACGTTGAGTATCTTTCAGTGAGGCTGATCGATTTGAACCTGCCATGATTCCTGTTACAGCAGGGAAAAAGAGCCCGACCATCGCACTGAAAGTTTAAATAAGTAACAATTAGAAAAATAATGAGAAAAGGTAAAACTCCAAGAACAATTTTTTTTTTTTTTTTCAAACAAGACAGGATTGACCCCGAAACCTTCCCCCAAATCCCCTCCAATAAAACCCCCAAATGCCACTAGACCAAGATGTCTTAGGCAACTCCAAGAACAATTTTTTTTTTTTTTTTCAAACAAGACAGGATTGAACCCGAAACCTTCCCCCAAATCCCCTCCAATAAAACCCCCAAATGCCACTAGACCAAGATGTCTTAGGCAACTCCAAGAACAATTTTAACACAAAATGTCTCCACAGCCCCGGCCCAAAGTAGTACCAGTTGACAACTAAAGCGACACACCCAAGTGACAAGATTTACAAAAATATGAGTGCAACCAAATAGTCACTCCTGACTGGGACAAAAGGATATGAGCAGCCTAAAATGTTTTGTTTTTGAAGCCCTTACCCAATTAAGTCTTTAAATTTCATATTCAAGAAATAAAAGGGAGCGAAATCAACAACTCTCGAATACCTGCAAGGTATTTTTTAATAAGTTTTCACTGCCTAACTTAATTTATAGAATCTGTACATCCAAACGTAGACTATAAAACAATCATTTTCCTTCAATTATATTTAACGGGTAAAGTAGTTCAGACAATCAAAGTATCGGTCAAATCGCATGAGATCAAAGCAAGAAAGCACCAACAACCAAAGTAGAACCACAGCATACATGAAAACGACAACCAGAAATATATTAGCTTGAAACTTAGGCCAGGGCTCACTTGAAACTCCATGATACTTCCCCATCAGGATCAGGAATTCCAGCATTGTTAGTATTCTGGTAATCTGAACTCCAGTTTTCTTTAAAAGATTCCAGACTCAAGCCCGTTATTCCAGCTGTGTCATCAAGCATTTAAAGAAATAATTAGCTCTTCCACCAAAGGGGAAAAAATCCAAAATAAGCAGAGAAGGTAGCAAAGCAAGAAAAGCACTAACAATTGAAAAGGGGTAAGGTTTCTGAAAATGCATTACTTATGAGATTTTCAGCTTTTTTTATTTATTTGAACAAAATACAAGGGTATCTAAAACCTTTTCCCCCATGGATGGCAAGTTGCCGCTTAAACTGTTACTTTTGAAAAAATTACTCCCTAAATTTAATACATGCACAATGCCCTAAATTGATGACATGTTAAAATTTGGATTGAATCACCATTGAGCACATCAATGAGCTTGTTTAAGGGCAATGATTGGAGCATTTATATGACTACAGAGTATGTCGTGTCATATTCACAAGGGCGTTCCCATTCAAAATTAAAATAGTTATTGTCATCCAATGGGTAATTTTTCAAGGGAAAAATCCAAATACTAATATGCATAACAGGATTCAAAGAAAACAAAACAAAAATGTGCAAAAGATTATAGTCGAATATATTTAATAATAGAGATAAAATCATTTTGGTACCGTCCGTTATAGCGAAACATCTCGCGGGTACCTCGTGTTTTGAATAATATTAAAATAGTACCTCCACGTTTAGAAAAGCGTTATTCCGGTACCTTAAAGACCGATTCTTGGGATATGAATTGTCGAAACTACCCTACCATTAATTAAATGGAAACTAAAAACTTTAAAAATATTCCCTAAAACCATTTTAGTGTATTCAAAGAAACAAAAAATATCCATTCAAGAAACATATCTAAAAACATGTTTGCTCGTCATATGCAAACAAATAAAATTAAAAAACAAATCAGACAAAAAAAGTTACGTTTTTCGTCAATTTGCAAGCAAATAGAATACAGTAGCAAATTAATTGGTCCAAACAATCACAACCAGCAAACAAATGGAATCAAGTAGCAAACAATTCTCTAGAGCAAAAAATAGAAAACAGATCAGAACATACAAATCAGACCAAAGTCAATTCAAAAACCAAATTTATCAATATGCCGAATCATCTCATTGCTTGTTGACAACTAGTGACGATGTTCGAAGCTTGCCAATGTCTAGAAGCTTTAGACTATGTTCAGATCTAGGCTACGGGAGAGGGGAGATGCGGCCAAAGCAGGGAGCTTGGGGGGCACCGACGGTGGGTCACTCGCGATCTCTCGTCGCGGATGGGTCTCATGACCCATAAACTATCTCAATGGTGGGTTTTGCCTAACTCTTCACTACCGTAGGGACGCGAGTGCGGCTCTCCCGACCCACCTTTTTGCCTAGTCTCCGATGGCTTCACTGACGGATTTGGGGGCGGCGGGATACGGGCACTGACGACAGGGTAGAGGACAACAAGGGTGGGGGCGATGGGATCTGGTTGCCGACATTGGGGGTGAAAATTTCTAGGGTGGGGGCGGTGGGATCTAGCTACGGATATGGGCACTGATGGTGGGGTTGGAACAGACAAGTATGGGGCAGACTTAAGAAATTGTTAGGCCTCTGGTGAGGAAAGTGTACGTGGGAAGGGCCCAGAAAGGTAAGGGGATGGGCCTAGAGCTAAATGAAGTGGGGCCCAAAGTAAATGAAGTGGGCCGTATTGATGGAGGGGCAAGCCCACCTGGGGAACAGGGACGAAACGGTTAGTGCCCGAGGGATAACAGGGGCAGCAGGCAGGCAGGATGGGGGACCGTGAATTATGTGCTGTAGGAGCTACCTGGGAGTCTGGGGATTACTCGAAAATCTACCATTATCTTATTTTCTGCATTTCTGTAATTTCTTCTTCTTCTTCGTTGAGTCTAGGGCCTCAGTGAGCCTTGAGTTGTAATCCTCCATTTTAATCAATAAAAGCTTCGGAAGTTGGATCCAGGAAAACCATTTGTTAACCGATTATTAGCAAAACTCCTAGGATCCTAACATTTGGTATCAGAGCCGCCGATCCATGGCTCATTTGTCGCCCGCGGTGAGTAACCCAGGCCGCGTTTCCAGCTTGGAAGGAAGCATCGATTCGATCAAGGAAACCGTTCAGCTGATGGGGGCGATCATGGACCACGTGCCTCAGCTATAGGAGGATGTCTTAGCTTTAGGAGCCCAAATTGGTGATGTTCAAGGAGCGCTCCACCAACTGGAGACCTTGATCGGTCGCCGACTAGAGACCCACCCACCAGGACCCCCACGACGAGAGCAGGGACGAGACCAGGACCGACCGGGGCTGGCTGATTCGCCAGATAGGGGTCGCGGAAGGATGGACCATCGGGGAAGACGACTTGAGCTTCCGATCTTCCAGGGAGAAGACCCGTACGGCTAGGTATTTCGGGCGGAGCGCTATTTCGCCATCAACAGCGTCGAGGAGGAGGAGAAGGTTCTGGCGGCCTCGGTTTGCATGGAAGGCAGGGCTCTCGGCTGGTTTCAGTGGTTGGACTCGCAAGATATGTTCACCAACTGGCGGGGGATTTGAAGGCAGCAATTATCCACCGATTCAACCGTGCGAAGGACGGCGACCCGACGGAGCGGCTGATGGCGCTACGACAGGATAGCTCGGTGGCAGAGTTCCGCGACCGGTTTGAAGCCTTGGCCGCGTCCATGCGAGGTATTCCTGAACCAATTTTTAGGGGAGCTTTTCTTAATGGGCTTCGTGAGGATGTAGGGGCCGAGGTTAAGTTACATCGGCCCATTAACCTCCAGGAAGCGATGGATTTGGCCCAACAAATTGAGGAACGAAACGAGGCAATAGAGAGACTCCAGAAGGGGAGGTTGGGCCGAGGTTGGAGGTTGGATGGGGCGGGGAAGGATTTGGGCGTCAATGATCGAACCTATTCTCCATCAGGGTTCCCCGGGAACTCCCTTCAGTCCAACCAAGGGAAGGAGCAGAACCCTCCCCAAAAGACTCAGGGGTGGTCACCGCAGGCCACGGGAGTGTCTGAGGGGGGTGGGGCTGGTTTCAGGCGCATTACTGATGAGGAAATCCAGCGGCGGAGGGCTAAGGGGCTGTGCTTTCGGTGCGATGAGAAGTTCGGTCCGGGTCACCGGTGTAAGAACCGGCAATTACAAGTATTGTTGGCAGAGGAAGGAGCCGAGGAGTTGGTGGTGGAAGAGGAGCCTACTACCGAAGAGGTGGAGGGTATGGCAGGTCTCTCGCTAAACTCTCTGATGGGAATTTCATCCTCCAACACCATGAAGCTGGTGGGCGCACTGGGGAGCCGAGAAGTAGTGGTGTTAGTAGACAGCGGGGCCTCCCACAATTTCTTGTCACAGAAAATCGTGAGGGAGATGCGGATTCCCTTGACAGACACGGGGGGATATAGCATACAGGTAGGAAATGGTGCTTGTTTCCGCCAGCAAGGAGTGTGCAAGGGGGTGGAACTGAGGATCCAGGGGGTACAAAGTTGCTGCAGACTTTGTCCCGTTTGAGTTGGGGTGCGCGGAGGTGGTACTTGGGGTGTCTTGGCTGCGAACGCTAGGGGAGGTACGGGCTGATTGGCGGAATTTTACAATGAAGTTCAGAACGGAAGAAGGATGGGCCTGCCTGAAGGGAGATCCGACCCTGAGCTTTGAACCGGTAAGTCTCCGTACCCTAACTCGTAAATTCCATAGAGAAATGGTTGGGGCTTTGCTGGAAATTTATTCACTAGAGGGAGAGGATGGGGATAGTTTAGGGGAGAGTCAGCCTGAGCCCGTTCAGAGGGTCTTGGCTCTGTTCCCTGAGGTGTTCATGACACCTGAGGGGCTGCCTCCTTCGCGAGGTAGGGATCACCAAATCACCCTTAAACCAGGGGCAGAACCGCCTAATATCAGGCCATACCGATACCCACAAGCGCATAAGAGTGAGATTGAGAGGCTGGTCACTGAAATGTTGTCCTCAGGGATTATTCGGCCAAGTAGTAGCCCTTTTTCAAGCCCGGTTCTGTTAGTTAGGAAAAAAGACGGGAGTTGGCGCTTTTGCGACGACTACTGAGCTCTCAACCGACTCACGATGCCGGACAAATTCCCAATCCCCATCATCGACGAACTGCTGGATGAATTACAGGGGGCATCCGTGTTTTCTAAGTTGGACTTAAGGGCCGGTTACCACCAAATCCGGGTTAGGGAGTTTGATGTGGAGAAAACCGCATTTCGCACGCACGAAGGGCACTATGAATTTCTGGTTATGCCCTTTGGCCTAACTAACGCTCCGGCCACATTTCAGGCACTCATTAACAAGGTATTTCAGCCATACTTGCAACAGTTTGTTTTGGTTTTTTTTGCAATATTCTGATTTATAGCCGAACGTGGGAAGACCATTGTGAGCATCTCAAAACAGTTTTGGAGGTTTTGACAAGGGAACGGTTGTTTGCCAACTGTAAGAAGTGTTCATTCGGGCAGCAACGTTTAGAATACTTGGGTCATGTCATCTCAGCAGCCGGGGTAGCAACTGATCCGGCCAAGGTGGAAGCTATATTGTCATGGCCCACACCCAGGAATGTCCGCTGAGTTCGGGGGTTTCTCGGGTTGGCGGGTTATTACCGAAGATTCGTCCGAAATTTTGGGCATTTGGCACGACCATTGACCAACCTACTCAAGCGGGGGGAGTTCAAGTGGACTGAGGATGCCACCGCGGCTTTCAAGGCACTCCAGCGCGATGACCACCCTTCCCGTTTTGGCAATGCAAGATTTCGCCAAGCCATTTGTGGTAGAAACGGACGCTTCGAGCACGGGCCTTGGGGCAGTGCTGATGCAACAGGGCAAGCCGATTGCCTATTTCAGTAAGGCTCTATCGGGCACCACTCGGTTGAGGTCGGTATATGAACGTGAACTTATGGCTGTGGTCTTGGCGATACAGAAATGGCGCCATTATTTACTCGGAAGACACTTTGTGGTCCGAACCGATCAACAGAGCCTGCGATTCCTAATGGACCAGCGCCTTTTACCCCCGGAGCACCTTCGTTGGGCCATTAAGCTTTTCGGGTATGACTTTGAGCTGCAATACAAGCAAGGGGCAGCGAATCGTGTGGCGGATGCCTTGTCCCGACGCGAGGAAGACACTGAGGTGGGGTTGGCTGCAATGTCCGTGCCCCAATTCCTGAATTGGGACGAGATTCGGCAGGACCAACGATCGGATGGGGACTGTGCAGGACTGATCAGAAAGTTGGAACAGGGTCACGGGGGGGCGATTGGGTTTTCCCTGCGCCAGGGTTTGTTATGCTACCGTGGCAGGGTAGTGCTACCTCAACAGTGGCCTTGGATAGGTCGGATGCTTCATGAGTTTCACGACTCGGCTTTAGGAGGACATTCCGGGTTCCTGCAAACCTATAAGCGAGTGGCTAGTAACCTGTTTTGGCGAGGAATGAAACGGGACATCTGCCAATACGTGGCTGACTGCCCCATTTGCCAGCGTTCCAAGTCGGACGTGCTAGTCCCCGCAAGCCTGCTACAGCCGCTGCCGATTCCAGAGAGGATATGGGAAGATATCTCCATGGACTCTGTGTGTGGGTTACCACGATCGCAGGGGGTTGATACCATACTGGTCGTCGTGAATAGGCTGTCCAAGTATGCCCATTTCCTGCCGTTATCTCACCCATTCACAGCCAAGAAAGTGGCTGAGCTGTTTCTACGGGAGGTGGTGCGGCTCCATGGTATCCCAGCCTCTATTATTACAAACCGGGATCCACTTTTCATGAGCATTTTCTGGCGCGAACTCTTCCGGAGGCAGGGCACAAAACTGAGTCGAAGTTCGGCTTATCACCCCGAGTCGGATGGGCAGATAGAGGTCGTAAACAAGTGCCTGGAGGTGTAGCTTCGCTGTTTCGCAAGTGACACACCTCGTTTGTGGTCACAATACTTGCCGTGGGCTGAATTTTGGTTCAACACCAATTTTAATGCGTCTGCCAAGCATTCTCCCTTTCAGGTGGTCTACGGCCGTGATCCCCCCACAATTCACCGGTTTCAAGACTCTCCTTCAGCCGTGGAAGATGTCAACCAGCAGCTGCAGCAAAGGAATGAGCTGTTGGACGTCCTGAAGGGGCACCTTGTGGGGGCACAGCAGCATATGAAGAAGTTTGCCGATGTGCATCGCCGGGAACTATCCTTCGCACTGGGGGACCAAGTCCTTCTCAAGCTCAGGCCTTACCGCCTCAAATCCTTGGCAAAGAAAGCCAAGAAGCTAGCCCCTCGGTTTTATGGCCCTTTTGAGGTCTTGGAAAAGATCGGAGAAGTTGCCTATCACCTCTCGCTACCGGAGACTGCGAGGATACATCCTGTTTTTCATGTATCTCAACTTAAGCCGTTCAGGGGTCTGAATTCGTCGTGTCAGCCTCTTCCTCCTCAGCTTTCGGATGAGCTGGAACTACAAGTCGAGCCTTGGCAAGTTGTCCGGGGTCGGTGGTCACCTTTGGGCGGGAAGCTGGTGACTGAAGACTTGGTGTAGTGGAAGGGCTTGCAGGATTGGGAAGCCACATGGGAACTTTTGGACGTGTTTCAGGCACAGTTCCCTGAATTCAACCTTGGGGACAAGGTTGTCTTCGAAGGGGGGGGTGATGTTAGGCCTCTGGTGAGGAAAGTGTACGTGAGAAGGGCCCAGAAAGGTAAGGGGATGGGCCTAGAGCTGAATGAAGTGGGGCCCAAAGTAAATGAAGTGGGCCGTATCGATGGAGGGGCAAGCCCACCCGGGGAACAAGGACGAAACGGTTAGTGCCCGAGGGATAACAGGGGCAGCAGGCAGGCAGAATGGGGGACCATGAATTCTGTGCTGTAGGAGCTACCTGGGAGTCTGGGGATTACTCGAAAATCCACCATTATCTTATTTTCTGCATTTTTGTAATTTCTTCTTCTTCGTTGAGCCTAGGGCCTCAGTGAGCCTTGAGTTGTAATCCTCCATTTTAATCAATAAAAGCTTCGGAAGTTGGATCCAAGAACACCATTTGTTAACCAATTATTAGCTAAACTCCTAGGATCCTAACAGAAATTTTCTGGGTTTGAAAAAATCTAGGTTTGAGATTTGGGAATGTGTTTTTTTTTTTTTCAAATATTTAATTTTCTAGAGAAAATCTTTTGATATTTAAAATTTAGTTAAATAAGTAGAAGGGTAGAAAAGACATTTCATGTCTCAAAATTCAGGCTTAGGGTACTTGAATGACGCTTTTCAAATGAGAAGGTACTATTTTATTATTATTAAAAACATAAGGTACTAGCGAGATGTTTCGCTATAACAGAAGGTACTAAAATTATTTTATTCCTTAATAATAAGTTGACATGTATTTTTTGTTCCCCCACATTCTAATACATAGCTTTATTTACCACGTTGCAGTCTGGATATCATATCATGCAGTTCAATGTTGGATGTAAATATGATTCCTTTTTATGCTTTATTGTCTAATCAACCTCATACTTACAATGTTATAAATGTGCAGGACAAAAACCCTGTGTATGCTTTATTGTCCAATCAACCTCATACTTACAGTGTTATACACGTAGACAAACAAACAAGCAGAAATACCATTGCAAGACCAAAAAAAAAAAGAGTAAGAAATAGATGAAGAAATTGCTCACTTGCAGGATGGTCCTTCCCTGCCGCAGCAATTCCAATATATATGCAAAACAGTGAGAATAGAACAGGTATAAGGAAAGCAGGCGCAACTCGATTGATCATTTTCACACCACCAAACACAATAAAGCAGAGGAGGATAGTCACAACGATCCCATAAATTTGCAAATCATGTGAGCTTGGACTTTGTATAGGTTCTGCAACTACTGTGACATTAACTCTGGTGATAGTCTCTGTGTTAACATGATGAAGAAATAAAATAAATATGCAATCATTGAATTCCAGAAACACGTGTCACTAAACAAACTCTATGTAAAACTGTTAAAAGCTCAATTTGTATATAAGCTCAGAACATGGACAAACACATAATACATTGTTGTATTGTACAAAACTGAACAAATGCATTACAGCACAAAACACTGGAGGGAGAGAGATATGGTGCCCACGTTCAGATTGAGACTATGAAGAGGGTGCACACACAATGTACGGAATGGGATGTTAAGGGACATTTGTGTGAAGAAAGTCTAATGCTCAACAGAAAGATGCACTGGACCCATGGTTATAACTATTTCTTTACAGTTAGACACGTTAAGCAACCATTACAAAAGCAAAGTTGATTTTTATACAAAATGTTAATGCTGCAAGAGAAAAGCTATAGTAATAAATAGAATAACGTGTGAAATTGTCAATTATGAATGACGTGATCTTACATACGATAGCATATCACAATTAACTTCTTTTCTGTTAAATGGGGCACGTGCTTAATCATTACCTCTAAAAATTCCAGCAGCTGGGACAGCTTTCAAAAAAGTCTCTACAGCTCCCAAGACATAGCTACAACCACATGCACATCAAGGCATAAAACTTGGTACGGTAAGCACATCAAAAATAAATAATGAACAGGACACTTCAAATGAGCCCCAACTCCAGTCTAATGAACATCAGCATATATACTGTGATGTTGAGACAACAAAAGTCATAGTATACTCACAGAGCTCCGGCAACTGCATTTCCAAGGAAGAAACATAGTCCAATGCTAACTCCAACTTCTGGACCAAGTGCGCGACCAATTAGATAATATGGTCCCCCACCCTAGAATGAACAAGTAGCAAATCATTATTATCAACTCCATCTTACATAGTAAAAACAAATGACTCTTAAGACACAGAAACAAGCATTTAAGAAAAAATACCCTTCTAATTATCCAAATGCATTACCTCATACTACGAATAACAAATGAAAGAATGAAGCATAAAATCTTTTTGCCGGTAATAACTAAAAGTGTAACTAATATCTTTTTGCCGGTAAGAAAAAATGTGTAATTAAAAAAAAAAACAAGTTGAACCATAATGATAAGATTTGCTATAAACCCAAAAGGAAAAGAAGAAAAAGAAGCATTAAAACAATGTTATGTAAAAGTATGCAGCAGAAAAATTGGCCAATAATCTAAAACTAAAACCAACAAAAATGAGCTCACCTAAGCTAAGAAAATATTAAAAGGGCCAATGACATAGTTTTTGGAACTTGGGAGAAAAAGTTCAAAACCAGTACAAGAGGCTGAAATGGAGTTCATGGTAATTGTAAATTGTACTCATACCTTCATAGCACCATTGGTTGCAATAGCACTTAATGAGATTCCAGTTAGAAAAGTACACAAGCCACAAATTGCTACTAACAACAAAGACTGTCCTATACCAGCCATACCAACAATCCTGCAATTTCACAAAAGACAGAGAAAGCAACAACACATATGAGGGCAAAATTTGCTTCAATTACTTAGCAAAAGCTATAGAAAGGACATGTAATTTGAACCGATCAAGGTGCTCATTTATGACGTTACACACACCCTGCTCAGAAGTTAAAACGTAAAATAAATCCAAGTGCATAAGAATCTAAAAGACGACAGTCAAAGAAAGTTACCAAGAAAATCGAATATAGTAGATAATTCCCAATATATTCTGTAAGCATGGAACAAATACACCCATCATCGTACCCAACTTGATGTCCGAAGTCTGCAAGATAAATGCACTTTAGATGACATGGAAAAATTTAATGAATATCACAAGATGCTACGAGTATATGACCGGTTCATCCTCAACATCGTTGCCAGATAATATACTGGAGCTAGAACTTAAATACCTATTACAAGGGAAAAAAAAAGAAAAAAGAAAAAAGAAAAAGAAGAAGAAGAAGCAGACAGTTTAATTACTGAAACCCCTCCACTCTTCCAACCGCTATTTGGAAAATTCTCCACTCAGATTTTACTTCAATTCTCATCTCAAATCTGACTATAAATAGTATCATGCTGATGCCTAACGTGGTAGTGGCCATATTTTTTCTCAATATTAAGTAAAATAAAATAAATTTAAAAAAAAAAAGAACAACACACACGCACCAGTGAGTGTCAATGGAATAGCATACCTTTGGACGCCCATGGGTGATGGAAATATTTTCACCATCTCTAGGACTAGAAGGTTCGGCAGAATGCTCCTCTGTCATACTGAAATAGCATCGAAACTATTACCATCATAAAAGAAAATGGGTTCTCGTGAAATAATTCAAATAAACTCCAGCTCAACCTACAAGGATCCAAAAATTTACCCCTTCCAATAATCCATCCTTTCTTAGGGAGGGAGCATGTAGTAATGACAACTTTAGCAAAATAATGAAGTTGCGTCAATTATCCAACATTTTGTCAGCTACTATGCATGTGTATTTTTATGTCTAGTATTTAAGATATCTAGTTCTCACAAAAGAAAAATAAACCAATAAACAATGAAAAGCATACCTCTTAAGACCAAGAATGTTGACAAGAGAATCAAAACCAAACAATTCCAGCTTGGATTCTCTTTGTGGTCCATTCATTTCCTCATTTACAGTGGAATCCATGTTTTCCTGTGAGCTCACTTTAACTTTCCTGCCACAGGACATCAACAAACATTTGGAACAAAGTCAGCCAAACATTTCCACTTCCAACACAATGTTCTCAGTCATTCCATATTTGAATGAGATGGGTGAATTTCCACATATTCCCCATCGCAATCAAAGTATCAAACAAAGCTAAATGAGTAGAAATTACACAGAATATATTTTACTAGAACATTTTTACTAACCCATGTTTCAGAGATTTGTAGAATTCTGACAAACAGACAATATCATTTGCAATAGGACTACGAACCATCACGCATGGCTTTATTGGTATTTGGTATCAAGAGCAAGAAACTAAATTAAAAATATTTAAGTTTTCTTTTATCACATTTAAAGTTCAAATCTAAGCCATCCACACATTCCACAACCCTAACACAACTTACTGCAGTTATTTGAATACAATCTAACCATAGAGCCATATTCATCAGTATTTTCTCATCTGCTTACGATCAAATTTCCAACAAACATAAGCGAAACTCTCAGAAACATAAAATCAGCCAACCCAACCAACTAAACGAGCTTACTTAAATGCAATCCTCACGATAAGCAAACGTAACTAACTCATTCTTCTTCTCATTCCTTTTCAATTAAGTTCACGTTTAACAAACAGAAAAGACTCGGAAACCTAATATCGCATCCATCACCGCGACACATCATTCAAATTCAAGACCCGATATGTCTTCATGCGCATCATCGATAACAGCAAATGAGGGAGAAAGAGAGAGAGAGAGAGAGAGAGTATTACGAACATACTTGAGAGGAGCTTGGGGAAGGGGAAGAGCAGAAGAGGACGAAGAAGAACCAGAAGGATCGATTGAAGACATCTCGAGCACGGCGCTATCATTGTCAACGACGGGGCGGTACTTGCGACCTATCGGCGCGTGGAAATTGTCCTCCGGACCACCTTCGATGTCGCCATTGTCCATTTCTCTGTTCCTCTCCGGATCTGAATTCCAGGTATTTCAATTTTCAAGGAAAATTTACAGATTTGCAGTGATGAGATCTGCAAAACGAATGCCTTTTTATGCCGAGCAGGGGAGATCCAGAGGAGAGAACGAAAGATCCAATCCTGCTGAGGAAAACTACGGGGAATTGATCAAATCGCTTGTTTGGATGATAGGAAATTGTCCAAGAAAACGCAGGAACAAAAAGAGAGAGAGAGAGAGAGAGAGACGTCTTTGAATTTAACTGGAATGAATAGAGAAAGAAAGAAAAAAACATTGAACAAGTGGGAAGAAAGAAAAATAGTACCGTGATTTTACGCTTTTAGTATAAAATTCAAAATGTATCCCTCAGTTTTGTCTAAATATAAATTTTATCCCTAAGTTTTTTAAAATATAAGTATTTATTGTGTTTTATCTAAATATTATCCTTAAATATCTCATACACTATTTAAAAGTCAGTTTAGTTCGTTGATTCGAATTTTTAATTCAAATTGAGATGTAATTTTATATAAAAAATTTTACTATAGTAAAAAAGTTAAATATGATTGTTTCTGAGAGTTTTTTATTGTAGTAAAACTCGAATCGGTAAAATAAACGATACCTAAATTTGTGTTAGTTATACCAATTTCTAAACACCTCTCTTAGTTTTTTTCTTTTTTTTTAAGTGGCTCTCTTAAGAAATTTACATCACCATGCATAAGTTTTTTTATTTTAATAAGAAAGTGAAATCTTAAAAAAAAGCGTAATTTTTTCGTCACGTAATAGTGTTGTGCAATTCTAGCAAGTTGGTTTATTACACATTACAAAATATACTTTCACATCAAATTGGTAAATAAATTTATCATGTATTGCCAAATAAAATTTCAAAAAAAATAGAATTACATCTTTTTAAAAAAAAAAAAAGATTTCACTTTCTTATTAAAGTAAAAAAAAAAAAAACAGAAAAAAAGACTTATTTAAATGGGTGTTGTAACTTTTCTAATAGGTTTATTTTCAAAAAAAAAATAAGATGTGTGTTTGGAAGTTGTTATAGCTCAGCAGAAACTTGAACAGTATATGAAATATACAAGGACAGTTTGACTATTTTAAAAAAATTAAACCTAAAAAGTTGAAAGAATTGATGCTTTTTGTGTGAGTTGAAAAACACAAGATATTTTTTGAATTTGAAAAAACTCTGAGATAAAAGTTATATTTAGATAAAAATGAGGAGATTCTTTTCAGATTTTCTCTTTTCCACATTATGTGTGTTTATTTTCTCAACAAAAAAAAAATACATTAAAATAAAAATAAAAAACCCTTCTAGCAGCTGAAAGGCAAAAATAAAAATGAAAATTATATGTAAGTTTCACTATTTTTGCTTTTCCTTATTTTATTCTACTGTTTCACCATTTTTATTTTTTTCTTTCTGACCAATCATTTAAAAAAAAATTTCACCAATCCTTAATCGAAAAGGAATGAGAAGAATGAGTTAGTGGGAGGAGACTCTCGCGTCGGAAGATTTGAGTATTAGTAGTCATTTTTTATATTTTATTATAGCTTTTTAATCTAGTTTTATTTTATTATTAGTATGTTGTTTATCTTACTTTGTATTTTGTTATCATTTTCTATGCGAGCTACAAATAACCACTTAGTTATTGTATTAGAAAGACTTGAGTATTTTGATAATTGAATTAGAGTTGAAATTCCTCCCTAATTTAAGAGTTTTTCCTTTTGTGGGTTTTTTTTTAGGTGGATTCAAAAATCCTTCATCCGAGTTAAACCAATAAAATCTCATTTTCTTTCATTCCGCTGCGTCAGTTGGTATCAGAGATTGAACTGGGCAACAAATTAATTAAGCCGATTGTGATGCAAGGAGGAGTGAACCTTGGGAAGCAACAACACCATCTCCTTATGGGCACTGAATATCAGGTAAAAGAATTAAACCCAAAGCAGCCAAGCATTGGTTCTTTGGACACTCAAACTGAAGAGAATTTGGCTCAAACAGAAATTACTTCATTAGAGATTCCATTTTTTGATGACAAATGTAACCCTTTGGATGATTTATTTGATTAGATACAATTTGTGGACTATTACTTTGATTATATGAACATAGAAGAGGAGAAACAAGTTAAAATGGGGGTTTGTAAATTAAAGGGGCGTGTTCAAGCTCATTGGGTCGGTTCGTGCATCAAAGAAAGAAAGAGAGCAAAAATTCGGTACAAAATTGGACAATAATGCGACAACTTTTATGTAAAGCAATTTCTCTCAACTCCCTTTGATCCAATTTTTATTCCAACAATACCGCAATTGTGAGCAAGGGAACCGATCGGTATTAGAATATGGTGATGAGTTTTATAAACTAAGTACAATATTTGTTGATGTTGAACTTGAAATTCAATGAGTTGCTTGATTTATTTGTGGATTGAAAAAAGAAATTGGGGATGAAATTTGCTTATTGTTCGTGCATAACTCATCTGAGGCTATTAATTTAGCAAAAAAAAAAAAGAGGAATGTGATCTTATAGAGCTTAGTAAAAGCACTTTTGGAAAAGGGCCTAAAGAGGAATAAGAGTTGGTTGTTGAGGGTTTAGTTGTGGATGAGCTTGAATGGAAGAAATATGGCTTAGTTATGGGTGAGTTTGAATTGACGAAGGATCTTGCCATTTCACATCCATCTTGTGGGCAGCCTCACTAGTGAATTGGGTGGTTTCAAGACCAAAGGTGTGAGGCACCGTCAATGGCCAATAGCTTGGCTGTTTTTGATGTTCCATTGGACGATTACCTAGGTGCTATTGTGGATTTAGGACCAGATTCAGAGGGATTTTACGGTTGGGGTATACCATTCCCACAAGACCAATAGGAGTCTCTTTGGTATTGACTTCCCTGAGTTTTATTCATTCCACATTACCGCTAACTATTATTGATTCATCTCTGAGAGTTTCTACCGAACTTGAGGTCGAGTTATTTTTTATAGACAAGGTGAACTGATGTAGGGAAATTTGAGTATTAGTAATCGTTTTTTATATTTTATTGTCATTTATTATAGCTTTCTAATTTAGCTTTATTTTATTATTAGTATGTCGTTTATCTTACTTTGTATTTTGTTATCGTTTTCTATGTGAGCTATAAATAGCCACTTATTTATTGTATTAGAGAGATTTAAATATTTTGATAATTGAATTAGAGTTGAGTTTCCTCTCTAATTTGGGGGTTTTTCCTTTTATAGGGTTCTTTTAGGTTGATTTAGGAATCCTCCATCCGGGTTTGGTCAGTAAAATCTCGTTTTCTTCCATTCTGTTGCGTCAGATTCTCTCCAATGAGCCTGCCATTTTTTATCCCTCCTCTAATGGAATGATCCATACAATCTACCCATAAAAGATTGAAAAGGACCAATTTATCTTTAAAAAGTTTAGTATGAAATTGGTAAAAAGGACAAAACAGTAATTAAACAAGCATCAATTCATCTATTCTTTTAACTCTCCCTCCCTCTTACTTAACAACACAATGGATTATCATAATCCTCTTCATGGCTCATATTCTCCGTCTCTCCAACTCTCTTCATTCCTCCTCCTCTCCACCCCTCTTACTAAACGGAGCCTAAAGGATTATTATAACAATTTCCATCCTTCACATTCTCTCCATCCTCTCCTTTCTCTATCTCCCTACCAAATGGAGCCTTAGTGCTTAAGGATGAGACATATAGGGTGCGTTTGGAACTCGTTTCAAAATGATTATATTTTTTGTATGAAAATGAAAATGAAAACATTTTCAATCTCAGACAGAAATCATTTTTGAAAATGTATTTGGTAGTTTTATCAAGAGATTATTTTCAGTATAAAAAAATCCATTAATGTCTCTCTCTCGGCTCGAGAGAGGAGAAAACGGAAACAAAAAATGAAAAATGACTAAAAGTCATTTTTCATTTCTCTCCCATTTTACACTAAACCAAAAAATCGTTTTCATTTCTATTTTTTGTCTTTAATTGTGTCAAACGTCGTTTCTCTCTCGTTTTCATGTTCTTTTTCGAAAAACATGAAAAATAAAAACAACTCCAAACACAGCCACAAACTAGTCTTATATGATGGCGTTCATGTTTAGGGAGTTTCTCTTGTGTGTCTAAGATTTTAGAACCACCTATAAGTTCTTTTTTTACTAACCATGTGATGGGAATCGTGTGTGATAAGTGCATGAAAATGCACCCTAAATGAGCCAAGCTTTTTAGTCGAGCCACACAAGCTGATCAGAGAGAGGCAGAGCCGCGCCGAGCCAGCTGAGCCGGCCAAGTTGCATCAGCACCGTGGGCCCCACCTCCCAGCTCTCCCACCTTTCCTCACGCGCGTCACCCGCATCGCCGAGCCACTAGAGCGCGTCCCATTCACGCGCAATCATCAGCGCGTTCCATCCCAGTCTCGCGTGGGTCCCGTGCCTGCTCAGTCTAGCTGACCGCCCACTCTTCGCGTGCCAGCTGTCCAACGCGGACCCTGCGCCTACTCAAGCCAGCCTGCTTCTCTCCTCTACGTTCGACAACTGTCTCCCCCACTGTTCACCGCCAGCACACTCCAACCATTCCATGCGCGAAACGTGGCGAATTGTCTTCTCACTGCCAATCACGTTGCGACACGTGTCCACAGAGTGTTGAGACTGAATTTCTTCCCTAAAAATTAGAGCAAATTACCAGATTTCTTCCTCAAATCATATATATGATTTCTCCTAATTTATATGTAATTTTATTTGTTTCCTTTTCTTTTGTAATTTTCTATTTTTATTATTTATTTCCTTATTTGATAGGCAACCTCTGAATACTATAATTAGATGGGTTAGCCTAAAGTTTTTGGAAGCTTTTTATACTCAGTTTTCTGTCGTCTTGCTGTCAGCCTCATATTTTCTCTCTAGAACTTGTGAGAATGTTTTGCAAGCTAGGCTAGAGTTCTCTTAGTGAGATTAGAGATGAACTTTTGTTGAGTGACCCAATTCGGGCTTTTGATTCCATGTGCTGTAAAGTTCAATATCTGAATGAATTAAATCTCATCTATCTTTCATTTATTTTTCAAAATATTGTGTGCCAATTTTTATATAAGTTCAGTCATGCTT